CCCTCATCCTTGGTACCCGTGAGTGAATAGTAATTTGGTCCTCACAAGGCACTAATCCCATTACGAGTGGTAAAAAAAATTCAAACCCGTACGGAGTAAAAAACACATCTATTCACTCTACGATACCCAGTCAACGGCCACCCATAGTCATCTAAATATCCACAAGAGATACAATTCTCAACAATTTCTCAAATAACGAGCAAATCCAAAATTCACAAATTTCACATGTAGTATTAGTATTACCATAGAGCAATTTAAGAAAATAAGCAAGAGATCATCAAAAGACATATTTTTATTGTTCAAAATAAAGCACTAAAATTTTTGAATCAAGAGCACAAGAATATCAAGAAGAAGATTTCATGTTTCTCAAAAACTAGGTTTTGACATCAAGAACAAGGGTTTTATAGCTATCAACCATAACTTTACTCAAAACATGGTAATAGTTGCAAGAATATCAAAAATCACGGATTTTAATACATATATATAAGATTTAGAGTCAAAACATGTATATATATAATCCATAGCATCAATGAACAAGAGTGGAAGAAAACTCCTACCTTTCTTCCTTAGTTTTGAGTGAAGAACTAGAAGATTTGATCTTTTTTCAACTTGATTCAATACTTTAATCTCTTTGTTTTTTCCTTTCTTTCTTTGTCTACAAGCCTCCCTAGGGTTTAAAAATGTTGAAATGAGGCTAATGGGGGTGTCCTTATGTATTTATAGGGTGAGAAATGGCCTCTTGTGCGCGATTCAGAAGGTCTGAATTCGTAACTCACATTCAAACATCATTGGCGTTCGAACGTCCTTTGCTCCCAATACTTTTATTTTTTCATCAGACAAGAAGTACTGGAATACATTGTCGTTCAAACGGACTTTCACGTTAGAATGTACGTCGTTTGAACATCATTTCGTGTTCGAATGTACTTCCTATTTTTGCTGAAACTTCCAGTGAAATTTTGGCCTATTTAGAGGTCGAATTATAAAATTTTCATGAAATACACTTTGTAACCCTAAAAGTCTACTATCTACTTTCAAAATTTTAGATCAAATGGACATCAGAATAAAAAGTTATGATCTAAATACTAGGCAGTGTCCAAAATTCTTTCTACCCAAATTTTGTCTAAAATGTGTTTTCACTCCAAAATACTTCCAAATTTTTACAACACACCCTATTATCTCAACTAACATTTTATCTCTACTCTTACAATCCATCTAGTTCATGCATACATCATTACATATATTAGCATTTCAAAACATAATTACATTGTTATATTAAGATAAACATGCAGGGGTTTACACTTTATTAATTTAAAAATAAAGGCTCTTCTCTTGTTCTACAAATCTATAACTCTCTTTACTGAGTGAGACTCCATCCATTTCTTTACTAGTGTTTGTTTTTGATTTTTCATTCTATCATTTGTTTGACGACTTAAACTAGACTCCATTTTAGATAGGTTTTCAGTCTTAATCAAGATATCATTTAAGGAACAAAAAAGTTAAACAAATAACTATAAAATTTTGGAGTGATAGAAAGTAAATTTTTTAAAAAAATTTAAATGAAGAGTTATTAGTTAATGGAGGGGTAGTTATGCCACATGGTGAAATGTAACTCTAAGAATTGTAAAATAAAGAGGAAAGATCTCACATCTCTTTCACCTAATTTATTTGTTGTATAATAAATTTTAGATATAACTAGATTCGTGTCTAGTCGTATCAGGTTATACCATATATAAATCGTGTTTAGCTTTAGAAAGAACACTGAACCTATTTGTTGGCCGGTCTAATAAGCCCATTCGTTACTATCCAAAACTGTTATAGACTTGCTAATTTTATATTTATTTTTTATTGAACTCACAAGTTGTGTCTAAAATTATGAGACTTGCGTGGGAGAGAAGAAAATACAAGGAGCGAAAAGCATGAGGGAGCGGGCCTGTAAATCTCGTACATTGTTTAGAAACTCAGCCTAATTCTAAGTGATAGTTTAAGTGATAAAAAGGATGAACATTAAATTCAGACGTCCTGAATTTGAATTTTTGTTATTTCTTAGGGTAGATCATGAGAGATTTATCCCTTATGAATATTAGGTTCGACGTGAAGAAGAAATTAATCAAGGTGCATGTAAATTAATCTAAGCACCTTTAACAGTTAAACTAATTAAAAAAGGAAAAAAAAAGTAGATACCCAGCCTCAAAGTGTGTATACATATACTTGTTATATGTATAAAATATAAATATACTAGCTATAACCCGGGTCTGAAAATATGATGAAATATAAAATTCAAATGTCCAAAAAATCAATCTCTCTATATTAAATAACAAATTTTTTCCTTCATTTATTTGATTACATCATTTAAAATTTATTTTTACTCATTATTTTTTAAAATATTAACAATTTTCTTAAAATTCATAATTTGAAAAAATTTTCTCAACATGTGTATACTATAATGTATGAATAATTTTAAAAATAAAAATTATTTTAAACTATAAATTAATTAAATATTAAATGACTAATTATTTTTCTGTGCCTGAAAGCACAGAGTAATAAAAAAATAGTTAATTTATTTGTATTCATATCCAAAATCAAATTACAAATATAGAGGAAAAATAAAAAAATTTAATCACCGATTGTAGTGGGGTGAATGGTGGTAGTGGTGGTGGGCGACAATGGTGATGGTGGGAGACGATGATTGTTATGGGGGGTAAGGCTATGACCGTGGTGGTGATAACAGTCATGGGTGGCAACGGTGATGTTAGTGGTGGGTTTTAAGTGACGATGATGATAGTGACAACTGTGAGTGACAGCGGTAGTGGTGATGGGTGTGGGTGGTGTGAGATGGTGATGGTTGTTGGCAGTGGTGTAGGTAGGAGAACAACGGTGTGTGGTGGGCAGTGATGATAGTGGTGGTGGGCGACAATGGGTGCTTCTAGGCGATAGTGTGATTGATGGTGGCGAATGACAACGATGGTAAGTATGGTGGGGATAGGTGACATTGGATAGCTATAGTGGTGAGTGATGACAGATGATGGTGGTTGGTGGTGGTAGGTGACAGTGGGTGGTAGCGATGGTGGGCGATGATAAGTGATGGTGGTGTTGACGGTGGTAGTGGGATAATAGTGGTAATGGTAATAAATATAAAAAAAAGATGACAATGGTGGTGAGTAGTGGCCATGAACGACGAAGGTAGCAATCGGTAGTAGTGGGACAGTGAGGGTGGGGTGGGGCAATGATGATGGTGGGTTGGCGATGGTTGTGGTAATTATGATGGTCATGGGGGTGGTGATAGGGCGATGGGGGTGGTAGGAGTGATAGTGGAACTGTAACAGTAGTGGTAAGGTGCGTCAACGATGGTGATAATGGTAAGGTGCGACATCAGTGGTGGTGAGGTGATGGAAGTGGTGAGATGGTAGTGATAGTGGTAATGGTAATAATGATGGTGGTGGTAGGGTAATAGAAGTGGTGATGGTGGTGGCAACGGTGGTGGGTATGGTAGGGTGGCGATAGTGATAGTGGTGGCGGCGGCGGTGATGGTGGTGATGATGTGGTGGAATGGTGGTGGTGATGTGGTGGAATGGTGGTGGTGATGATAGAGGTAATGGTAAGACGATTTCAAACATTATTTTCTTTTTAAAGTATTATGAAAAATAATTTTCAAAAATACTTTTAAAAAATCACTCCAAACACACTGTTAGAGACTTATTTTTCTTTTTAAATTTTGGGTGTTAATATTAGCCGTTAGATTAATTTTAAAATAAAATTTAAAGTGATCTCAATCGAAAATAGTAAAAGTTATTTTATTTATTTTTTAAAATTTTGAATTGTATTATATTTTATTATATAGATTGAACATGTAATAGAAATAGATAATATAATTTTTTTAAAAAAATATATATATAGGGAATAAAATTTTATTAGATATTTTATTGCATACGTCTTCACAAAAAAAGAAAGAGCAGTCAATCACATCACCCGTTCACACATGCACCGCCCGAAGAGATTATGGTAATTGCGAGTTATTAGCGCGTACGTTCAAACAAAAAAGTGGCAGTTAACGCCTCAGAAACGAGAAAGAGCTGCCAAAATTAACGTAAAATAAACAAATTACTAAACAGTATTCCAGAAAACGAAGGATGAGAGAGAGAGAGAGAGAGAGAGTCAGAGCACAAACTCTGTAACATGGCCTCATGGTGGTATGTTTGACAACCATCGCTATTAGTCTATCACCACTACCAGTCTATTTCTTTTTTGTTTTTTTTTTCATTTTTGACTTTTATGTTTTTTAAGTCCAATAAAACAGCTAACTTCTTAGCAACTCCGATCCTGCCGTGGCTTTGTTTTTGATTCTCTCTCTACCCACCCTCGTGTGCGACTGCTATTTCGAAGTCGCCCCCACGTTTCTTTGCAGATTTCTTGGGTGCCACCTTTACCATTGTGCTGAAAAGAAACTTCTTGGAAAAATTCTAAAGGATTCGAACATCCCACATGTAACTGCGGAAAAGAGAGGGAGAGGGAGAGGGAGAAGGAGAGATAAAAGTATGACTTTCTTTAGTTTTTGAGCATTTGGTTTTCTTCTTTGCCCACGAGGTAATCTTAGTGTTCTACATTTGGCTATGAAAGTTCTGTGCTGTATTGTGTTTTCCTGTAAATTTGGGTGTTGCTAATATCAATTTACGAATTTTGGATTAGCTCAGTTGAGAGATTTTTTGGATCTATTTTTTCGCCTGAACTTTTGAAATTTGAGATCTGGGTTTTGCTCACATGAGGGTTTTGGCCACTGGTTTTGCTTGGACTTTGTGATAACTGGCTAATTGGAGGTGAAAAATCAGTTTTTTTTAGGTATGTTGATATCTGCATAATTTGTGTAGGTATAAATGGCTTTGGATCGTTGTCTTTTATAATAAAATTTATGGTCTGCATTTTGCTAAGGAATGAAGTTGTGTTGAGTTTGTGGGAACATAGGTTTGAGACTTGGGTTTTTTGAATCATACGACATTTGTATACAGATGGCCTCAGCAAAACCACCAGCTTCTCCTTCAAATTCTTCGACTACTACACCTGCTCCTACTGTTTCTCAGCCCAATCAAACAACTGATACACCAGCTCCTTCAACCCCATCAACTCCTTCCAACTCTTCAGCCCCACCGCCCCAATCCCCTCCACCAACAGTTCCCACCGCCCCTCCTCCGTCCCTACCGCAATCACCACCACCACCAGCGCCTTCTTCGCCTCCCCCTTTGCCCCCAGCATCACCACCACCACCTCCTCCGACATTGTCACCACCATCGCTTCCTGCTTCTCCTCCTCCAGCTACAAATTCTCCGCCCCCTCCGATTTTGTCCCCGCCACCACCATCAGGAGGTTCTTCTCCTGAAGCATCCCCAGCCCCTCCAGTGTTATCCCCACCTCCCCCTACAGCTGTTTTGCCTTCCCCACCACCTTCTGTGAATGTCCCATCGCCTCCAGCCAATTTTCCACCTCCACCACTTGCAAAGCCACCAAAACATTCTCGTCCACCTACCCGGAAAACTCCCTCTCCTCCATCTGGTTCTCCACCTGCTCCTCCACCCTCAACTAGCTCCCCTCCTGGGTCAACATTATCTTCTCCTCCTTCTGTCCCCTCATCTTCTTTGCCGCCTTCTATTTCTCCTCCTGGTCCCCCGAGTAATGCATCTGTTAGTGGGAGTCCTCCGACCTCCCCACTACCCTCCTTACCCACAGAGAAACCCACTGCAAGATCAACTACACCTAGTCCAAATTTCACAGGGAATGCAACATCCAAAGATGGTGGGGGAGGGAATGCCGGAGGTGCAGTGGCAATTGGCATTGTGGTGGGGTTTTTGGCACTTGGTCTTGTTGTGATGGCTGTGTGGTTTACGCGAAAGCGAAAGAAAAAGGTAGCTCAGTCAAGTGGCCTGTACAATATGCATTCACCAATTGCTTCCTCCCAACAATCAGGTAGTTTCTATTTTTAATATATTATCTTATTACTGGTTTATGACTGGGATATCACTGTTCGATCTGATTTTTTGTTGTGAGATTTGTTTCCTTTGATAAGGGGCCAAAAAAAGAGTTGATGTTATTTGTTCTCCAGATTCATCATTCCTAAGGCCCCAAAATTCAGCTCACCTTGCTGGAAGTGCTTCAGGAAGCAATTTCATGTACTCACCAGAGCCCGGCGGTGTCGGCAATTCAAGGCCATGGTTCACATATGAAGAACTGGCTGAGGCAACAAATGGATTTTCAGCTCACAATATTTTGGGTGAAGGTGGATTTGGTTGTGTTTACAAAGGGTTCCTGGAAGATGGAAGAGAAGTTGCTGTTAAACAGCTGAAGATTGGCGGTGGACAAGGGGAACGTGAGTTCAGAGCAGAAGTTGAGATTATCAGCCGAGTGCACCATCGCCATTTGGTTTCGCTTGTGGGTTACTGTATATCTGAAAAGCAAAGGTTGCTTGTCTATGACTATGTGCCAAACAACACTCTTCATTACCATCTTCATGGTAAGACATACTTAATAGTTTGTATAAAGAGGAAATTTTGAAACTTTAGTGCTTAGACATCCAAGAGTACACACTCTCCTGCCCACATAGTTTGCAAGTCAAAATTGGAACCAAAGTAACTCCATTGTTAGGAATTAACAATGTTAGTTATTTGACCTAGTTTTGATTGATAACGATCAATGTTAGTTATCAACAATGTTACGTCAAGAATGCTCGAGAGATTCTCAACTTGTGGTGGATCTTCTGCCATCAATCATCTCTGTGATACTAAATCAAGGGGGTTGAGAATTGATGTTTTTGTTGAGATATAGAAAGGTTCCCATTAGAAAATGTGTGGTAGAAAATATACTAATTTCCTGAAGTGTTGGTGGCATTTTGCAGGTGAAGATAGGCCAGTCATGGATTGGGCAACTCGTGTTAAAGTTGCTGCTGGTTCAGCTCGTGGAATAGCTTACCTGCATGAAGACTGTAATTTTCTTCCTCTTGTTCCTGAAGTTTGCGTGTTTTTCACCTCTTATTTTGTTGCCTGCAATATATATTGATTTGTAGTCACATATAGTTGTTGAAATGGCTAATCTCGTGATATGTTTCTGGTGCATTGACATGCATGTTTGTTATGATAGATCCTATTCTGTTGAAGCACAAGATAATGACAAACTCAGGTTACAAATTAATATAATTTGCCAAAACCTTCTAATTTAAATTTGAGAAAGAACAATATTAAGGATCAAGAACAACATTTGGTAATTTCAATTTCATTTGTTTGAGGCATGCAAAGTTCTTTATGTTCTGTCCTTGGTACATATTTTTTTCTTTGAATTGTTTAAATTAACCTCTGCTAAAGCATTTTACTATTTCTTTGTTTGGTTGGTCTGTTTATCAGGTCATCCACGGATTATTCACAGGGATATTAAGTCCTCAAACATTCTCTTGGATAACAACTTTGAAGCTCAGGTATGCCCAAATTCTGTAGCTTAGATCTTGAAGACAAATTCATGCAAACTATAGTGGCATCATGCATACTAATTACTTTGCAATGTGCTGTCATTTACTGCCTTTAAGAGGCGTATTATTAATGGAATCCTTGACATGCCTCATATATAACAATGTAACTCGCAAGTTTGAGCTTTTAATATTTCCTTTTATGGCGAGCAATGACTGTTTTAATACACATTCTCTCATGGACAGGTTGCTGATTTTGGGCTTGCAAAGTTAGCACTTGATGCAAACACACATGTTACCACACGTGTGATGGGAACTTTTGGGTAGGTAACTTATGTGTTCTTGGTCTTGATAGCTATGAATAATTGAGGAAGGATGTGTTTTTTTTAATGAAGGACTTAATATGCCGGGAATATAAACCAAAGCTATTGGTAGAAGGGAATCGTCATGAACAAACAATATGTATTTCATGCCGTCCTTTATCTTCTCGTTTATATTCATCTGATGAATGGTCCTGGGTAATTCTTTAGATACATGGCTCCAGAGTACGCATCAAGTGGCAAATTGACTGAAAAGTCTGATGTATTTTCTTTTGGGGTTGTGCTGTTAGAGCTCATTACTGGTCGTAAGCCTGTGGATGGATCTCAGCCACTGGGTGATGAGAGCCTTGTTGAATGGGTAAGTTTCGTAAACCTGAACCTTGGCAATGGTCCTCTTCTAGCTAATGCTATTTCTTTATCATAAAATTTCATATGACATCTTTAATGGAATATGATTGCGATATGAAATTTGTATCTCAAGATGTGGCAGTGTTCACTACTTTTACTTAGAATCAATTTTTTCCCTGTTTACTTGACAATTCGTGAATACAGAAGTCACAAATGTTTAGTATTCCACAACCATGCACTATCAGAATGTGAAATCCTTAGTCATGCATGAACCTTTGAAATGTGTAATTTTAAGGACACTCTACTTATATCCTCTTGTTTAAGCTCAACGCCAGTCTTGCATCTTCAATTTGATTTCAAAAGGGGGGCCTTTTAGTTTCCCACAGAACTAAGCTGTCATAGAAGAACTTTGATTGGGCACTAGCTTCAAGCTCGGATGGTGCATAAGTTCTGTTAGCACACTGAGATGAGTTTTATATTTGTTAATTTTCTGGTTCTATGATTGTTTTTTCATAATTTCCTGAAATGCTGTTATAGCTGAAGAAAGGTGATGAGCTGTAAATTTCTCTATATTATCAGTTTTGGTTGCACTCGGAAGAACGGATTTTTCTTATTGGAATATGTGTTAACTTCATTCAAAATTTTCATGTGTATCGGAGTAGTTCAAGTTGAACCAAATGATGAAATTGAAAGTTCCTCTAGAATTAAAACCTTAATGATGCATGATGGATTCAAATGGAGGTCGCTAAATGTTGGGAAATTCTTGGCATGCATTGGAGAATTTATGTTGTGTTAAAAATTTCTTAGCCCATTTTAATTTTTCAGCTTCTTGTTTGAGCCTTTACTCTTTACATTGACAATAGATATAGTTGATTGAGATGGTAATGGTTGTGTAAGCCGTATTGTTTTTAATTGTGATTTTGATGGTTCTTCCTCATTATAAATTGTTAATGAGCATAGCTATACCTAGTCTATCAAATGTAAAGTTAAAAAGTTTGACATCATGGTACCAAGTGTGCACATCTTTTGTGGTTATATGGATTTTTGGTTGAATTTATTTGCTTGTGTGAGCATAAAGGAGTTCTCCTTTGGCTGTGTTTGGGATCTACACTGGTGGCAAAATAAATTGCTTATTCTATATGCTCATGTTGCATTGTCAGCCCAAGAAAAGGGAAATACCAAAATAAAGGAGTTTGCTATAGTAGGCTATCACCATTCCCATCTCATATGGGCAAAAAATGCCCTCATTTTCCCTTTTTACCCCTGTTTTGAAGAAGGGAAAGAGTGTAAATTTGAGCTTTCCCTTTTGTCTCCCTTCATTCCCATTTGATTTATAGAGAATTGCCCCTGCGCTGCCATCCACATCCATCAGCAGTGCCATCTTCATCAGTCATTGATTGCAGCGAATTTTGTCATCTTAGCCCCACAATATGATCATCCAAACAGCAAGCAACCATCACATCATTTCTTTCAGTAAGTTTATGTCATCACCTTGAGTTCACGTAATGGTGGCAGAGGCAACACCAATTGATTTGCATGAAATCAACGTATGTGGCCAGAGCGATTGTGCCAGTCCTAGTGGGCCATCTCTGTCCCCCCCCCCTTTCATTCTATCTATCTATCTATCTCTCTCCTGCAATGGTAAAAATGGTTGGATCACATCATCTCTTTCAGTAAGTTAATGTCATCACCTTGAGTTCACATCATGGTGGCAGAGGCAACACCAATTAATTTGCATGAATCCTGTAGGGCCATCTCTCTCTCCCCTCTCACTCTATCTATCTATATATCTATATATCTCTCCCCTGCAATGGTAAAAAATGGTTGGATCGGACAGAGAAGACCTGGACCATTGCCTTCCCAATTTTATTTTCCTCTTACCTTTAAAAATCACTTCTGGGGAGAATGCTATCCTATTTCTGCAAATCTTGATATCAATAAGTTCTAATCTAATTTGAGATAAAATCATATTTGTCATGTGACGTTTATAAGACCTAGACTTGTTTTGAGGGAGAAATTATAGAAGAGTCATGGAGTTGACTTCTGGGATAAGTGATGCTGATGGGATTTGATGGTTTGATCATAGCAATTGCAAGTGGGCAATGGTGGTGGTTGAATGATCGAAGTGGGGTGGTTTGATCATTTTGGTGATGGATGAGTGGTGGGGGCTTGATGTTGGTGAGGATGGGTGGGTTCTGATGGTAAGCCGGTGGTGGTGGCAACAACTAGCATCAGTGATGAGGAGAGTTGATTCACAGGGAGGCACATTGAATCATGAGGATCGCCAAGAGTTTGTTTAGATGATTAAGGAGCCTATTCACCCATTTTCAATTGGTTTTGCATTAAAGGCTCTAACATGGTATTACAGCCTGGCGGTGACTACTCATTGGATAAAGTTTATCACCCATTTGAATGCCCCGTCCTGTCTTTTTCTCTGTTTGTTTTAGTTTGGTATGTTAGTTAACATGTGACCTGAGCTTGCATGTGAGGGATGATGTGAAGATATCCCACATGAAAAGATTGCTTACACCCAAGCTTGGTGTGTACTTTCATCCGGTGCTAATTGGTTTTGAGTTGGATGCGCCAAGACCAGTAAAGGTAGAGGGCCAAAAATAGTTGTATTCCTTTGGGATGGAAAATTGTTATTTATGGGGAGAGAGATGATTTTGAAAAAAGAGATGTATTTTTCTGTAGAAAGAGGAATGTATGTGAATGCACGTGATTGTTTTCTGTAAAAACACAATGGCTGCAGAGGGAAAGGCGACACTGACGCACACCGAAAATTATGAGGATGAAATTAAGTTCAGAGAACATAAGAGTCCGTATTATTTCTTTCCCCTACATTTGTAGCCTTCCTCATTTTGGTTTCTTAATCCCCATTATTTTGGCTATTAAACAGAAAATATATGATTTTCTCTTCAGCATTTTAGCATATTGAAAATCGTGAAATAGAACATCAAATTGTAGGCAGCAAAAGCAGGAGGAAGAATATGAAATCATGACCATTGTGTTGGTGAACTTTGGTAAAGTTGGCTGTTGGGTTGATTGCAGGTCTGTGGAAAACTTCCCTCTACTCTTTTATGCTTCTCAAATAAGAACTGAAAGTACAGTTTTCTCGCTTGCAGAATCAAAAAAGTTGTCAAACACGAAAAAAAAATGAGCATTCTATTGAATTCTAACTAGTGATGTATTAGTTCTTTAATTCATCAATTCTATTGCAATTGAAATTGAGAATGATTTAAATCTCCTACAATTCTCCTTTATCTTTCTTCTTGTAGGTGATTGTAATTGCATTCTAGCTAGTTATCAGACTTTGCAAATAATAAATATTCACATGCCTTGCAGGCTCGACCACTTCTTACTCAAGCACTTGATAATGAAGATTTCGAGCAGTTGGTAGATCCCACGTTGGAAAACAACTTCGTTGAAAGCGAGTTATTCCGGATGATTGAAGCAGCCGCAGCTTGTGTGCGTCATTTAGCTTCAAAGAGGCCTCGGATGAGTCAGGTATAATATATAGCTGGACACTTCCATCACATCCTGTCAACCCTTTGGACTGCTACAAAAAACACCATTGGATTTCAAAGTAACACGATCTAATTCAAAAATTTCACCCAATTGAGCATGTATAGCATATTTTTTCACAGTAGCAGGATCACTATAACTGACTCCCTTGAGTTCGCCACCATAGAACTCAACAGTTACACCTACTTGTTCAACACTATACTTTGATTCTGCCCTTCTGAAAAAGGAACATCGGCTCTTCGACTTAATCTGTTTTCCTTCTGTTCTTCCCTTCGCAGGTGGTGAGAGCTTTGGATTCCATAGATGAATTCTCAGATCTAACCAATGGAATGAGACCTGGACAGAGCGAAATTTTTGATTCAAGGCAACAATCTGCACAAATCAGACTGTTTCAGAGGATGGCATTCGGAAGTCAAGAATACAATTCAGATTTTTTCAATCAGTCTCAAAGCAGCCTGAGGAGTTGAATGAAGGGGGGAATGCCACACATCGACACCCTCCATGCTTATGGAGTAATGGAGACGAGTCTAGAAGATATCATGGCAGCAGAAAGTCGTTTGAAACTACTTGCTTGAAGGGCTAGGAATTCACTTGATCACAGAGTGATTTTGAGCATCCCTTGGGAGTTCTTATCTTCTATTTAGATTCTAACTCTCATTTCTTGTAAATCTTACACCATTTTTTGCTGTAATTTTGTTCTCTGCTAACATGGTGTTCTTTTTTTTTTTTTGAAAATTTTCCCATTTCTATATCATTTATTTGTTTAGAATCTTTGAACTTGTTATACAACTCTTCCTTGTATAATTCAATATCCTACAATTCCATTTTATTTGTTTAGAATCACATGTTTTGAGAGCCTTGAATATATTGATTTAACAATAAAGCTGTTTGAATGTAATTTGCTGATCTATTTTATCACACTTGAATGACTATTTGCAGCTACATAGTTGGGGTGCTTTATTTGATTACAAATTCTACATGGATAGGTTAAATTTACAAAAATTGTTAAATGGGTCACTAATTGGTGGAATACTTACTTGGTAATCCGAAACTTTTTTGAATGATATTTAAGAAAAGAATATTCTAGAAAAATTCATAGAATTAGAGGAATTCTTCCTCTATGACTAAATGATTAAGAAATATTTAGAGACTAATTTACAAATACTTTGTACACTGATTTACAAAGAAATGATCTAATTAATCAAGATACACAATGAAGATTGTGTTCATACGATTTTTACACTTCTTCGTCATTGATATAAATAATTGTCAATAATTACCATATTCAATAATTTTTATATTAGACTTATTTGTTGGTCTATAATTGGTTAATAATAGTGCATGTCAATGTCAAGGCGATATAATTTTTTTATTGAATGTTAAGTCATTTCGTCTACTTCCTTTTAATTTAATTTCTGGGTAAGTATTTTTTTATGGATTCGTGTGCTATGTATTTTTGGTCTCTATTAATTTGATTTGTTCTCGAGAGAAATAAAATATATTTAATTATTATTTTATAAAAGTGATTTAAATTTATTTTAATATATAAATAATATATATAATATCATTACATTCTATTTCATATTTCATGTCGTATTATTAAACTCATTAGTCTTGAGTTTAGATTTTAATAATTTAAAAAAACATTATTTTTATAAATATTTTAATTTCCACGTTAGTGAATGAATGTGTTATTTTTGATTAGAGAGCGACCGAGATTCCCGTAATTTGAATTCCACACCCCGCTGAGCTAAAAAATAAAAAACAAATATTGAGCAGAAAAGACGCCGTTAAGACAGGGCAGGGCAAAACCATCTTGTATCAAGTATTAGTAGTTCAGTAAACAACGATTACCTTTCACAATCTTCACCATTCAATAGAATAATCGGAGAGAGAGAGAGAGAGAGAGGGGGAGAGTGATGGGGGAAGAAGAAGATCCACAGAAGTTGAAGAGAATAGGGGCGGCGTCGTTTGACTACGACAATGACCCAAGATGGGCGGAGTATTGGTCTAACATCCTTATCCCACCCCACATGACCTCTCGCTCCGACGTCGTAGACCACTTCAAGCGCAAGTTCTACCAGCGCTACGTCGTCCGTACCTTACCAATCCTCTAACACGAACTCACTCTCTAGCTATGTATACTTGTGTCTGTATTTATATCCTCATCTTGTTGTTCTTTGTTACGCTAATTTTCTTTGAATTTCAATACAGTTCCAGTGAATCTGATATAGGTTTTGTCTATTTTTGTCTTGTCGGCGCTATTGAAGGATTCAATGTCATATTCTTTTGCGACACTTTACTTTTCTGTATGTTCTGATTAGTCGTTAGGATTTTGTGGATTTGGGTATAATAGATTTTTGGAGCATAGATTTCCAATATTGGGTTTCTGCGATGTATTGATTTTCTGGGATTTCCTATGGTTACGCCTTATGTATGAGGAATCTCAGTTGGGTTTTACTATTTGTTTCGTGAGCTTGGGGTTTCTGTTTGACTGTTGGAACTTTATTTTTTTCGAATTTGAAATGATATATTAGAGCTTTATTTATTGTTTTAGTTTTTTTTTTTTGTTGGGGTATATTTTTATTTTCTTTCTCAAGATAGGGTTTTATTGCAATTTGTAATCACACTTGGATATGTACAAGAATAAACTGGCTCTCTAATGCCAAAAGAACTTTTTCTCGTGGACTGTAATTCTGACATGGACTGGGAAATGGTTTATTAGTTGATCCCAGCAATAATATTATAAGTTATATTAATCATAGGATTTAGCGGCAGACATGACTGAGAAAATTTGAAATTGAGTTTTTCTGCTCTATTCATGGGATATTATTCATAGCATTGGTCCTGTTCATAACAATGGCTCTCTAATGACGCATTGTTGCTTGAATTTTTTAATCTGCAGGATCCTGATCTTGTTGTTGAGCCAATGTCTATGAGTAGTTCCTCTCAGCCTGCAAGACCATCAGCACCACCATCGTCAGCAAACCCAAGTGACCAAACACAACCACGGAACTCAGGTACTGTTGTCACAAATTGTGGCTTTTTCCAACCACCATTATCATTGGAAAATAAGATTGAATAATCAGATTGCACTTGTGAAATAAAGACACATGAAACTTAATTTGTTCTTGCTAACAATATCTGTTGTTGTAATTAAACTCAACTTAAATCTATAATGTAGGGTCAACTGCTAGAACATCAAGGGCATCTACTACTCCAGCTTCAAATCCAACATCTCTGCACTGGGATCGACAAACCATACAATTTTCTGTTAATGCTTGGGTACAGTTTTTAATACCTTGATAAAATGATTTACACATTTCCGTACACATCAAACATATTAATGATTTTGCCTGATAAACTTTATCATGGCATGGATTTATGTTGGTTAGTTATAACCTGTTGCGCCCTTTTGTTCTTAATTGAAACCAACTCAAATAGCTGTTGTATGAAAAGATGTTATGAGTATACTGTAGTCCATTTATCTCTTCTGAAAACTTCTTGGTGAAAATTTTCACTTATTATTATTTTGTTTGTTTTGAAAGTTGTCCAATCTACTGGAAATACTTCAGTCAGACACCCTTGCTTCTTTGGTTTGTTATAGTCAATTTTACCACTAAGAACTTTGTGGGATCAGACGTTTCAGAGAAATTGGATTGATGTGGTGTCGTGGTGCTCTGATTAGGCTTCTTAGGCTCACTTAGAAGTTAGATTGGGATTGCTTTGAATGTGGAGCTTGTCTCCAAACCGGTTTTACTTTTGCTGATAATTTTGTAAGGGTCTATATCTGTATTTCCATCAAATCAAATTTTTTTTTTGGTGGTAAGGGTACAAAGGAAATAGTAGGGCTTAACTGGTGCTGTGTTCTGCTTGTATCCGTTTTGCATTTGGTTAAAACTGTTTATCTGTCCTTTTTCCACAGGTCTTCGTTGTGGCTGTGCTTGCAATTTTTCCACTTGCACCCAGAAACCTTTCGAACAGAGCATATCGACTTGCCTTCATGGGCACTGCATGTTCTTCTCTATATTCATTGCACTCACTTTATGGGGTACTTTGTGGATCTAGTTTCTTATTAGTTTTTATCTTGTACTCAATTTTAAGTAATGTTACAGTGTATGCTTCCTGTAACTGGTCATTTGTTGCAGAAACCTAGGGCGTGGAATATGCAATCTGTGCAAATGTGGTTTCAGTCTGTAATTGCGACCAAGGATTTCCTCTACTTCATTTACTGCCTTTCTTTTTCCACATCACACCTTAACCTCAAATGTTAGCATCATTTGACCCCTCTTATTTGTTATGTTCACTGTCAATGTCCTTGAATGCTTCTTTAGCTGACCCAGTGTGATGATGTTCAATAATGTTGCAGTTGCTTTAATTCCCATTTTATGCCGAGCCCTAGAACATGTTGCCAAGTTCCTCAGGCGTAATTTCAGTCACTCCTCCTTGTACAGGTAGGGGAGTCATGATTTTCCATTGGAATATATTTGTTACATCTAGTTGTGACTTGAATCACGAATGAGATGGAGATCCTATTAAAGCAAAAAGCCTGAAGATACCCTATTGAAATTCTAGCCTAGAACTTGTCAAAGGAGTGTGTTAGCCCCTGCAGCTGGTGGGTGGATTTTTTTTTTTTGGGGGGGGAGGGGGTGTATATGAAAAAATTAAAAGGGAAAACTTGTCAAAGTAGTTCCTTTATTTATCTTTTACCTCTTGTTGTGCTAACAGAAAATACATGGGTATCTGAAAAAATTAGAAGGGAAAACTTGTCCAAGTATTTCATTTACTTATCTTTTACCATTTGTTGTGCTAACAGAAAATACTTGGAAGAGCCTTGTGTGTGGGTGGAGTCAAACACCACTACTCTCAGCATACTGTCTTCACACACTGAGATTGGACTTGGGTTTCTTCTGATTATCTCTTTATTTTCGTCAGTGACTCAGTAGCTCAACGGATTTTCAGTTGCTGTTTTTTATTTTCCCCTTTTAATTGTATTATGTATTCACTTGTTTAATTTACCATTTGAACATGCAGGTGGCAGCGCAACATTTTACAAACATTCATGTATTGGCAGGTTTGCATCATTTTTCCCTCATTATATTGGAATGGAATTCTTTAACATACATCACTCAACATTTTGTGCTTCATGAATTTGTAAAATAGTTGTCAACTACGACGAGCAATAACAGATTCAATAGAAAAAGGACATATTCTGCTCCTGTGGGGGGGAGGGTTTGGGGTTGGGGCAAGTGGTTTATGTGATATCAGAGTTCTAAATTACCTAGGGCATATGGAATAGTCTGAATTCTGGCATATGAAATGTGTTGGACTTCGAACTATATATTAATTGATTTAGTTTCATGTACTGATTCAGCCAACCAACAGGCTTTTGGTCCAATGGTACTCCTTGTCTTGTGAAGACTTTGTCTTCTTGAGGTCAAGAATTCAAATCCCCCTCGCCCTTCCCCTCCTCCCCCAAATAAAAAAAAATGTACTGATTCAGCCAATTTCAAATTATGCTTGATCTATGTCCCTGGGCTGGGGGTGGACCTTTGTTTTGTCTCTCTCCTGCTGGGGCTGCCATGTTGCTAAACCTACCAAGTTGGATCAGAACTGTAGCTTTCTAGTTGATTTGAGTCTGAATGTAAGAATTTGTACATACAATAGCACTATTCAATGTGAACACATGCCACAGCTAATAAAATTAAACATTTATCAACATGTTGCATCTTTTTTTAATGAGGATCCCTGCTCATAATTGAGCCGGCAAACCCAGCTGCACGTTCGTGTTCCAACACATGCATGAAATCCCTCTGGGGCTAGCCCTAAGGTGGGGTTCAGATGGCAACCTTGAAGTTATATCCTCAAGGACTGCCATTTCACCTGTACCTGCAAATTGCATTTGATGAAATATGATAGCATGCATCATCCATCATTCAATTTGCACAGCATTTACTCTTCCGAGTTTCAGTCCACCTTTTCTTCTCTATTGCAAAAAAAATAAAAATAAAGCTAAGTGAATGTTCATATATGTTCTTGAATTCTCTTTGGCAGCTGTTAAAGCTTATGTATCATGCCCCTGTGACTGCTGGTTACCATCAAAGTGTGTGGTCTAAGATAGGGATGACTGTTAATCCCCTTATCCATCGTTATGCTCCATTCCTGAGCACTCCAATTTCCACTATTCAGAGATGGTGGTGCAGGTAAAACCTAGAGAAACTAAGAGGGAGTAGGATGATCTTGCAGAATCAAAATGTATACTGGAATTATTTTGAGTCTTGTAATTTTGTTCTGGAAAAAGAGGGGATCAAATATGTTACCAAACCATCATCTTGATTAGTTATGTATGGTTGATTCAACTTCACAAATAAACTCCCATTTTTAAACATGCCGAACTGGATGGTTAAGAAGGCGACTTCCCACTTTGTTTTCTGGTGCGTTACATGCTATGATATTTGTATACGTATGAAGTCTTGTGGAGAGAGACATAAAGGATGTCGTTTTGCCTTGATTGGTTGTTTTGCAAGTTCATTTGGGTGTAATGCACAATTTAGGGATTTTTTTCAGTTTGATGAAAATTGTTTTTTGCCAAAGGAATCATGTTCTGTGGGTTTTGAGCTGCGTTGGCCACGCATTGATTTTTGTTGTTCTGTCTCTAACATTTGTTCTGTACGTCCAGAAAATAATTTATGTGACTTGGGTCATTAGTGAAACAGTCATTTCCAGAAATGCCAAATGGACATTGCAAATTGATGTTATATAGCTTTTTAGTCTCTCCGAGAAGTTTTTTAATCTAATACAATACATATGATTAAAAGACAAGATTAAATATGATATTAAAATAATACATAATTTTATTTAATGTTTAGCAAAACACAATAATTGCATTAGATAGTATTTATTTAATTCAATCGGTTGTTTGGTTAGAGAATTATTTTATTGTATTAATGTTGAATTAACAAGAATACGTTTAATCAGTGTATGTTATATTGATGACAATTAGATTTTATCACTTGGGGGGTTATAATAACAAATGTGTAGAATAATACATTTGAGTTAAATTATAATATAACCTCTCTTAGTGGTATTAAAAGACTTAAGTAATACATGTTTATCGTATAAAAAATATACGATTAATATACGTTTTTGAAATTAATACGGTATTAAATTTGTTTACCAAATAAAATATTATGCTTAATTAAATAAAAAATAATATAATATAATATTTAATTTTCTCATAATACATTTATCAAACGCGCCCATTTTGTATCCAACGCAATCCGATAATTACCACATATATATGTATAGAGTATCATATGCATATGTGAAATTTTATTATTTGGTTATGATATTATGTCTCGATAATTATGGGCATCACCTTTGGCACCAAGATACCACGAAATGCACCTAGTTTATTATCAACCAACTATATTTTTTATACTCCGTAAGAGTCCGCTACCCTTGTTGTTAAAGGGAGATGTTTTAGCTAGTAGATAGGCAGCCTTGATCAATGGATACATCTGCAATCTTTTGGGAGGTATAACCCATAGAAATTAAGGTTACGACTTGGTGAGGTTCAAAATTTGTGATTGGTTTTAAAAAAATTGGAATCGATTTTTATTTGACCTTCTAAGTCATAATTAGACATATTTTAAATTGGACTTGACCTAATTAGGTTATAATTTTTAAAATCACACTTTTTTCAATTTTAGAAAAACTCAGGTTGTCAAATACCTTAAATTGACTTAATATACGTACTATTATTGTATGATTAGATAATTTCTTTCACTGTATATCCACTAAATAGGACTTTCAAATATAATACGACATGAACATGACATGAAATTAGAGAATTTTACTCTTTTTTAAATTATCTGTTTTATAAACGAATAGACTTGTAATGATACAATTAGTTATACACGATTTATAATAACATGAACCCGGTCTGACACAATTCGTTAAATACAAATTAATAAACGAATTGAAAATAAGTGAATTTTTTTTTTTGAGACAAACTCGTTAATCTTTGATACGATTTTGCCTTTCCTTAACAGACCTACTGTCGATGTCAAGTAAATGGGTCTAACACTAAAGTGATGGTGATAGATGTATTACATCTTTGATAGGTAAAATTTGATGGAAGGCATATTGAACTCACCTAATGATCTCAAAAATCTCAACCCTCATATTATTCATAATTTTAATGTGCGAAGAAATGGAAGAAAATTATCACATATTTATTCCATATTTTGGATCCTAATTTTATGGAACAATATGCTACTGACGAAACACTAGAGTCAGTTACCCTAATTCCATGGAACATTTTGGACCCTTATGGTGTGTTTGGTAACGTTTTCGTTTTTATTTCTTTTTTAATAAAAAAATAGAACTAGTTTTTATTTTTTTTGATAAAAATTAAAAATATAAAACATGTTTGGAAGTCATTTATATTTAAAAAATTATAAAAACAAAAAATAAAAACATATTTGATATAATGTATTTTGAATAATATTTTATTGTTGTTATTTTAGTTATATTTTAATTCCAAATAAATGTCCCAATTGGAGACATTCTTATTAGGACACACACACACACATACAGACGAGATGATCGTACACCTAAGAAGCACGAATACGAATACGTGACACAGGTACGATACAATACGGATACGGCGATACAGCAAAACTTAAAAAAAAAGATACGGGTACGGCCAGGATACGTCTATAATAAAATATATTTTATATTTTATTATTATTTAACGACTTAGAAATTACAATTTTTCAATAATTCTTTAACATTAGTAAGTAAAATTATAAATTTTTACCATGAAAAGGTTATAATATCATCTCATTATGATCTGTTCATAAAATGAGCATAACAAATTAAAGGAATTATAATAACATTTAACTAATTGGTTTTACAAGTATTTATTTTTAAAAGTATAGTGTAAATGATTCATTTTTTTTATACCCTCTTAACATATAATAATAGATAATACTTAAAAAACACTCGTTTTTTTAAAATCAGATAAAATTTTGTTGATATTTTATATTGTATGTGAACTCCAAAGAAGGGTTATAGTTTAAAATTGAAAATTGTACATCTTACACCATGATTAGAAGTATCCGCGAAATATCCACATATTTTATTAATTATGGGATACGGATGATGCGTATCCGATACGTATCATTGACTATCCGACGAGTATCGTATCCGATACGATATCGGATACGGATACGTCGACCTTGACGAAGTATCTGCGCTTCATAGTCGTACACACACACACACACGAGATGATCTTGCTGGAATACACACACATATACACATATATAAACACAATTACACAAACATACTTTCACAAATTACACACAGAGGTACACAAAATAAATGGACACAGACACACACATACATATTCATTGATCCATATATACATCATACACACACACAAACACAAATAAACACACACACGTAGATTTATATATATATATATATATATATATATATATATATATATATATATATATATATATATATACAGATCTATGTATAAATTTCGTCTTTGTGTTGGATTTTGTCTTCCTTTTCGTGTTTGATTTCGTCGTCATCTTCTCGTCTTCGTCTTTGTGATAGTGGATTTCAGAATGAGGCACCTCTTCATCTTCATCACAATGGGCTTTAGAGGAGGCATAGAGAGAGAGAGAGAGAGAGGGGGGGGGGGGGAAAGAAAGAAAGAAAATGGGGGTTTTATAGTTGCTACAAAAATAATCTCATTTTGTTGCTAATGAGATTCGAATGTTGTACATCATTAATTGATAATGGGATGCATGCATGTCAATTTTGGATATTTTCAAAACATCACTTTTTTGTTTTTATAGTTTTTGACCTTGTTTTCAAAATAATATAGCTTAAAAAAATAAAAACACATTCCAAACACATTATTTTTTTTTTAGGCGAAAAAAAAAAACACAAATAGCTAGTTATCAAACACTACCTAAAGAATTAAAATTTTATATCAAAACACTATATATGAAAGGTATAAAAGACCTAAACTATAATTTTTGAACAGTAATTACCCAGTTCAGATATTCATAACTAAGAATTTGTGAGATGTATTTTGATATATATTCTTTTATAATTTTTGTTAATAATAGATGAGATATCATGAAATTAAGTAAATGCACAATAACAATACCATGTACATCAAATAAATGTGAGTCATTAGATGATAATAGGACCCACCAATCTCAGGATTCACATCGACTGTTGCAAAATTTTCCTTCATGTAATATTTCCCAATGCACAAATATAACACCCTAATCGATCGCTAATAGCCGGTAACGTCCCTTACGGTCAATTAGCCTTCCTGTCTCGCCGTGAAATTCATTTCCACCTCTATATGCATCGGAAACCTAATCGGCAGGCCGACATTTGAATCCTCGAGGATTGAACCTCCCTGAGCTCTTCCTCGCACTGGACAAAGTTTCAGCTCTTTAAACTTGTATAGCTAAGTGCATTGATCAATTCAGTCTCCAATTCAATTCGCTCTCAGGTATGCTCTTCAAAGCCTACACTATATCTTCCCACTTGAACGCGCTCAGACGCTCTTCTCTCCAATTCACAGCCTCAATTTCAAGCCTCAAAGTAGTTTGGCGCAAAGACCGCCTTCTAGACCAAGCCATAGAAAACGATAAACAATGGAGGCTCTGTGCAAGAGTCGTGAAAGAGGTCCTAAACGAACCTGGTCAAGTAATCCCACTTCGGTACCTAGAGAAACGCCGCGAGAGAATTCGATTACCCATCAAAGTCAAGACTTTTCTTGTCCGGAACCCTGGTTTGTTCGATGTTTACCTCGACCGGATCAAACCCAAATCTGAACCTGTGATGTTTCTTCGTGCTAGCGATAGGCTAAGGCAGTTTTTAGAAGAAGAGAAAAGGATTACTATCGAAAATGAGCCGTTAATTGTTGCGAAATTGTGTAAATTGTTGATGATGTCGAAGGATAAGGTGGTTAGTGCTGATAAATTGGTACATGTGAAGAGGGAATTTGGGTTTCCAAATGATATTTTGGTGAATTTGGTCCCGAAACACCCTGAATATTTCAGGCTAGTCGGATCTCCGGGAGAGGGGAAATCATTCTTAGAGTTGGTTTCTTGGAATTCTAGCTTTGCAAAGTCGGCAATTGAGCAAAGAGCAGAGGAGGAATTTAGGTTGACGGGGATAAGAGTTAGGCCTTCGTTTAATTGGAAGCTTCCATCGGGTTTTTTCATTAGGAAGGAAATGAGGGAGTGGATTAGAGATTGGATGGAGCTCCCCTACATATCGCCATATAATGATGCTTCTCATTTGGATCAGGCCTCGCGAGAAATGGAGAAGAGGACAGTGGGGGTTTTTCATGAACTGCTATCACTTTCACTTTACAAGAGGATTCCGGTGCCAATTTTGGGGAAGTTTTGTGATGAGTACAGGTTTTCGAATGCATTCTCAAGTGTATTCACGAGGCATTCAGGGATATTTTATATGTCATTAAAAGGCGGAATTAAGACTGCGGTGCTGAGGGAAGCATACAAAAATGATGAACTGATTGATCAAGATCCACTTCTTGATATAAAATACAAGTTTGTTGAGTTGCTGGCGAAGGGTCACAGACAGAGGACGGAGCAACTGACGTTGCAAAGAGAATTGATTCAGAAAGAAATGGAAATGATGGCAGTGCGGAATAGTGAATTAGGCTGTCATGAAAGCAATGAAGAATTGTGAAATTGTGAAAGAGACGTGGTACTGTACAAAGTGCGGTCCTTTGAAAGTCTTGCACATGCAAATAAGTAGTGCCGGCAAGGAAAGATCAATGGAGACAGATGCTCTTGATTTGGAGATTGAGTCGCATATCCGCTGTTTTTGACATGTTACATGTTGTTTTAAGAAGGTAAAAAAAATTTCGTTTGACAGTTTTACTGTGTGTGGGTGTATATATCTTATTACATGTTTGAGAAATGAGGTCCCTTCCAACATTAAAACAACCAACAAATGCAAGAGTTAAGTTTGCAGACATTAGTTACAAAATGATTTCAAAGATAGTACTGCTATACAAGTAGTGTAATTATGCCTATTTGCACAGTTTTACCAGTGGGCAGTGGCTATGCATGTTGATTATATTACCAACCAATATAAATAGCAAGGAATATTTAACGAATACCTCAGCTGTCTGAACATTGGCAAAGTGTTGGACACAAGTAGAACCTTTCTTTGAAGTGGCACGGTAATACAGGTGGATTCATTTTTTATGTATTTGTTCTAATGAGAGTTGACATTCATTTTTTAAACTAAAATATTTTCAAACACCCATGAATTTATGTTTGGCGAAGTTAATTTTATTGTGCTCATCGTTGTGCTTCCCTGTTGACAGGCTGTAGCTGAAGAGATCAAAGCAAGGTACGAGAGAGCAATTGTCAAAGTTATTGACTAGGTATTTTGAATTGAATTCTTGTGTAGACTTGCAGAAAAGAAAAGAGAATTCTTGTATGACCTTGGATATGAAGCAACGTCTACTAGAACAGACAGTTTGATGTGTTATTTCATTACAGTTTTCTGTTAAGATGATTTTGCTGCCTAGTATGATCATAAGAAGAAAAACTGGAGAAAGAGGTTAACTAGGCATATGATCCGTCTTTTATTTCTTTCCTACTACATCAATGTCATTAGATCAAAGCACTGAGTTTTTCATTTTCTTTGCACAACCACAAATTTTAATGGCAACATAGGAGTAAGAGTGGTTGGGTCTTTCATTTTTGAGACACATAGCTGAGTCAGACATTACAGATCGCCTGGTTACAGATTTTGTAATTCTTGATTAATGTTTTTGAAATTTTTGGATGATTACATACGTTCTTCATTGGAAATATGTCTATCTTATGTTACATCTCCATTATCTGTATTGGTACTTCACCTCGAACTTTAGTTGAATCAATATTGTCATAAATAGTTATCAAAATTTCCCTGTAACTTATTTGCACAAAACAAGGTATGATCTACATGTGTCATAGATCTGGAGAAACTTGACATTCCCAGCAATCACCATGTAAGTTGAAGAGATGCTTCCGGCGTATCTCTTGTTAGTTGTTACTAAGACAGCATAGTCTTCTTACTGTACTGCTACACTTGGTCTCCTTGAATACAGGTCAACTAAAATTATTTTGGATCCAACAAAAACATAAGCTCATGCTAAACAAGTAGAATTATTTTTAGGAGCGAATGGCGTCTTAGGAGACTGAAGGAAAGGAATGTCATTGAAGCATCATGCTTTATTAAAATTCCAGAACTTGTATGCATGGTTTGAGTAACTCTTACTACTGGTGTTTTGCTATCTGTTGCTTTACTTCCTCTATTTTAAAATTACATTTGAAGTAGCCGTGTGAAACAATTTTTCATGGCAATGAGACATTGTTTTCCCAACTGCAGTCTAACGCTTCAGCCTCATATGCAGGATCTTTTGAGAGACGGCAAAGTTGAGCTAACTATTTGATTATCTGGTAGCTTTCATACATGCTGGTGATACTGGTACCATGGTTTAAGGTCGTAATATCGGCCATTGACTCGGAGAAATCTGAAACACATTGGTCACAGCATTGCAGTGCGGTATCGAACGATACGACGTTAAAGAAAATGTTGAACATGACGAGAGATTCAGGTCGAACCGTATTGGCATCGCGGAATATAACGGTATCGTATAAGAAGGTGCCAAGTCGGATACGACTTAACTGACTTGTATCGATATCGGTCGATAATTTGAACCGTGATCGATACAGGAGCTCTTGCTATGGAACCTCTAAGGAGACGGCTTAGTCCCAAATATTTGTTAATGATGCTATGCGGCTTGTTCCTAATTTTTTGTTAGTGTTGCCTTGGAGGGTTAGTCCCTTTAAAGCCTTTACTGGAACCCTTGGACTCTCTCGGATCGTTATCAAGGCGGTCCAGCTCAAGGATACTGAAACATTTTTTTCCTTAGAGGAGTAAAAAGCTAAAAGGAAAATTCAGCTTAAGCCAAGGATGGGGATGAGGAAAATGTAACATCTTGGATTTTTATAAAATCATGGTCATAATTGGTGACAAAATTTTGAGGAATTTAGAGGATGAAAGGATTAATTAACTTATTTGGAAAAATGGATTCTATTTGTAAGACGATTCAATGATTATAATATTATGGTTGAAAGTAAATATTTGAGAAAAGTGTATGTATCATCTAATTGGTGTGTCATTAGGATTTGTCCAAATTGTGTTATGAATTTAGAGAAAGTACTAAGCATGAGGAAGTAAAGTGTGTGTGTGTATGATTTTTTGTTACTTGAGTGACAAATGTTTATGTAACTAATCTATGTATCTATGTGATGGGTGAGTCATGAGACTGATGTGTCAAAGTGAGCAAGGATTCAAGCTATGGACATCTTCTCCTTGTCTTAGCAAGGATTTGCATAGCTATGGATTCAAGCTATGCAAATGGACATCTTCTCCTTGTCTTAGCCTATAAATTTAGATCATCCCTCACCCGTAGTAATCATAGAAAAGAACGAAGAGGAAGGAACCAAGAGAGAAAGATGAGAGGGAAACAAAAAGATAGAAAAAGTAAGCTTCATCGAATGATGGTTTTAGTTCAGATTGTTACCAAATCCGAATATGTTAAAGCATATTTAACTATGAATCAAAATTTTCCTCAAATTTAAATCAATATTTGAGTAAAAAACTTGATTTGATACAAAGAGTTCTAATGGAGAAATTCAAATTTAAAGAAAGAAAATCTCAAATTTAAATGAGAGTAAACTCAAATTTAAAATAGAATAAAGATGGTCATTAGATCTTTAAAAGAGAGTGAAATCTCACAATTAAGGATTTGAGTAAAAAAATGAGTCTCCCTTAATTTTGTACAAGTTTGAGCCAAATGTTGGAACAAGTTTTTTGAGTTTTTTTTACTCAAATTTAAATTTGAGTCTAAATTTGAATCAGAGTTAAAAATGCTCTTATTTGTGTGATATCTCGAAATTCATATCTAATAGGGTCAATTGACGATTTTGAGGTACAAGATAATATATAATATGTTTTCTCTTAAATCTCTTGGTAAAAAGTAACTCTTTATTTTTTCCAATTTGAATTCTCTTTGGTTGAGCTATCGTGATTTCGAAAATTCAATTATATTTTGTTGAGTACATTGATCATATCTTGTGTGGATTGGTGATTATATTTTAGTAGTCAACAGTCCAATGCATCGCCAGTTCAAGAGACTTGTGGGATCCGGTTGAGATAGGGTAATTGGTGAGGTTCCAAGTCTATGCTTAGGTTTTACTTAGCATATTATATGTAAAGTATGAGTTTGTTGACTATTTGAGATATTTGATGTTTACGTGATTCTTGAGTTGTTTGATATTTGATTATTTGTACGTTTGTTATTGAGGATATAATTAGGGATAACTTGTGTCTGAAAGCATAGTTCAATGTAAATGATTTTAAGATGAATGAGTGTGGCTGTTGGATGAGTCTATTTAAAATTGTCGAATTGACTTATTGAAGTCTGTTCCGTTTTATATTATAAGTATCGTATTATATATTCTCCTACTTAATTTATTTTTTAGGTTAATTTTGAAGGAAAGATCGAGACTAAAATATTTATGGAATCAAAGATAGACAAATATCGAGAGTGAGAGATTTATTGCTATTTGGCATTGAGATTATGAGTTGTAATAGTATTGAGATAATTATAGCTTTGCATTGTATAATTGGAGATATAATTTATCGATTTTTACTGAAATGATGGAGATTCGGATGTTTGAGGAAATCAAATATAGACGAATCTCAATATAATGATTGTAATATTCAAAATGCGAGATTTACTTGTATTTTGAGATTATATTTACAATTTTAATTTCATTGAGGTAATTGGTGTTCTAAAGTTTCTAAGTTGCTATTGATTGTCAATTTTTTATCGAGTAAGAACATCTCAAAAAAGATCTCTATTCCTACTTATTTTTTTTTATTATAAAGAGTTAAACTCTTAAAATTTCATCTCTAATTGACTCATTATTTAACTACATTTGGAGAGTCAAACCTAATCAAACAACACAAGCACACTATCAAGATAGACAAATTAAATTAATTGCTTGAAGTTGTTTCTCATGTTGCTTGATACTCTATTGATACTAATTTTATTACACTAATGTTACGCTAACCAAAATTAGGAACTAAATCAAGTATATTTTTAAAACCCGGCCCGGACATCAATCCGATGAAGGGACCGGGTCATTGATTCAACTGTTGGATCACTAGTCAGACCGGTAATATAATAAAAAATTAAAAAATAATTATAAATAATAATAAATATGCTAAATATTCAAAGATCTGGTTTTCTTGGAAATCTTAGCACCATCGACAACACCTCAATGCAAACATCCCAAAAAAAATCCCCGATTGTTATGTTCCATCATACATACTCACAGGCAAAGTTTTAGATTTGTAGCTAAAATTTTTGCAAAAAAAAAGAAAAAGAAAAGCACCAACTACAAATTCAAACAAATCACAAATGACCCTAATTAGATAACACAATGAACTAATTTATCTACAAATAGCAATTAAATAGAAACCATAAAACTTCTGAATATGCACATTTCCTACACTATTTTCCATCAACAATACCTCAATCCAATCATACATTTCTTCGTTTTCATTGAAGAAATGTATATATATATATATATATATATATAGGGTTAATTGCAATGGAGGTCCTCAAAGTATGAAGTTTATCTCATTTTGGTCTCTAATATTTTAATTGCATTATTTTAGTCCCTGAAATATTAAATATATTTTTATATGGTCCCTCAAGCAGACACCGTGCAGATTGTTAACGATTTTTTATCATAAATTTATCGTGTGATACTTATATATGGGGAAAAAAAAACCCAATTTACACATTTGTGATCATGAGATTTTCAAATTTTGGTCAAAAGCTACCTATAATACACTTTTTTTGTAAAGAACTACCCAAATTTTTGGTTAAGAGCTATTCAAATTATTTTTTATCCATATTTAGGTATTATATGACAAATTTTTGATAAAAATAATTCGCAATCTAGATGTTGTTTGTTTGGGGGACTATATAAAAATATATTTAATACTTCAGGAATCAAAATAATGCAATTGAAATTTTGAGGACTAAAATGAGACAAATTCTATACATTGGGGACTTCTAGTACAATTAACCCTATATATATATATATATATCATATATTTCTTCGTTTTCATCAACAGTACCTCAGTCTAGCTCCAGCCATTGAATCGTGATGATCGAGAACACGAAGCATGAATTCAAAGGTTTGAACCTCGGAATCTTAGAGAATGAAAAAAGCTAATGTTTCAAGAATAGTTCAAAGCATAGTTTTAAAAGGGGATTGCTGGAGTCGACTGGACTGGATTCAAAAGGGGATCGCTGCTTGCTGGAGTCTGGTTTGAAAATCGCTGGTCGTTGGTGTCTGGTCTGGAAATCAAAAGGTCGCTGGTTGTTGCTGCTCGCTGGTGGAGGCTGGAGTTGGACTGTGCTCAGTCGTCGTTGGTGGTGGAGGCTGTGCTCAGTCGTTGTCGCTGGTGTCTGGTCTGGTGGATCGATTTAGGGCAAAACAAAAGGGAAAAAATCCACAAAATGCCCAAATAATGAAAAGAATATCACATTTATACAAATGGAGTTAAACCTTCCGGTTTGGTAAACTCATCCAGTTCTCACAGGTTTATCGATTTTTGACCGGTTCAACGGGTTAATCCCAGGTTCTTTGCATAAATGGTCTTTTGTCAGAATCGGCCCGATTAGGAGATCGGTTCAGTGAGTTGACCCGCTGAGTCAGGTCGGGTTTTAAAACACTAAAATAAAGAGTCCAAATGACATGACAGCTGATTTGGAAGGCTGATTAGGCAAAATTAGGGTTGTCCATGGGCTGGGTTACCCACGGGTCTCGTTACCCGACCCAAAATTTGATAAGCCCGATTGTTGGCCCGCCTAAGCTTGAACTCAATATCCTTAAAAATAGGACTTGGGTTTGCCCTCAAACCCATTACTCGGCATAAATCCTGGCCCAAGAGTCCGCCCGCTAAGCCCAACCCCCCTATATAGTCCACCCACCTTTTATTTGAAAAGAAGTTATACTTTTATACCATTAAATTTGAAACTATGAAATAAGTCTCCTAATGTTGAAATTTGAAGTTTTAAAAATTTAGATACTATAAATAATGTATTGTTTTATTTTTCATGTATTAAGCATACAAGTTTTAACTTTTAAAGGGTAGAGTAATGCAAATGATAGATAAGTGAGTAGGTGTCAACTTAGTTGAGATATAATCATTCTATTGGATGTAGTTCATCCCCTAATTAAAAATAAAATAATTTATTATTTTATTTTTATTTATTTTGACTCTATTTTTGATTCAAAAATATAATTTACACAAATATTAAATTACAAAAATATTCATTATTTTTAAATGAAGTTGTATGTAACTTTTAAAGGGTAGAGTAATGCAAATGATAGATAAGTGAGTAGGTGTCAACTTAGTTGAGATATAATCATTCTATTGGATGTAGTTCATCCCCTAATTAAAAATAAAATAATTTATTATTTTATTTTTATTTATTTTGGCTCTATTTTTGATTCAAAAATATAATTTACACAAATATTAAATTACAAAAATATTCATTAT